TTCCTCTGCTTGTCTACCTGGCAGGCTCTCCTTACCTGTGCTGTGACTTAGTTAAGCTGAAGTTGAATGAAACACAGACGAAGGAAGGCATTGCCTTCCAGCCACAATGGAGAAGCCCGTTCCCACTCTGTCCCCACTGGGAAACAGGCTTAGAGTTCTAAAAATTGGGAGTTGGGGTTTCCCTTCAGCTGTGAAATGTTACAGAAATACACAAGTTCCATACAAAATGGTGACAGCTGCTACATATTTCTCAGAAAAGCAGAGTTCTACTAAAGAATCTATAATGTTTTTTATGCTTTAATAAATACCAGGGGCCAGGCACAGTGACTCACGCCCGTAATCCCAGCACTTTGAGAGGCCCAGGTGGGAGGATCACTTGAGCCTAGGAGTTTGAGACCAGCCTGGGCATTATGGCGAAACCCCATCTCTCCTAAAAATAAAAATAATGATAATTAGTTGAGCATGGTAGTGCACATCTGTAGACCCACCAACTCAGGAGGCTGAGGTGGGAGGACCAGTTGAGCCCACAAGTTTGAGGCTGCAGTGAACTATGATCATGCCACTATATTCCAGCCTGTGCAACAGAGCAAAACCCTGTTTCTTTAAAAAAATGAAAAGCAAAAAAAAGGGGTTTCTGAGTCCATAACAGATCCCCATTGTCCTGTCATCTACCAGGTGAGGTTCTATGTCTTACAGATTAAGAACATGACCCTAAATCAGCAAGCAGATGTTTAAAATAACACAGAAACAAACCTCATATATTCTGTTTTCCCTAGCTGCTTCAGAATTTGCTGTGAAATTTAAGGGTATTTATTTCTTTGTCTGTGCAAATCTCTATCTGTTTATTTATTTATGAATGAGACTGGCTCTGTCACCCAGGTTGGAGTGCAGTGGCACTATCTCAGCTCACTGAATCTCCACCTTCTGGGTTCAAGTGATTCTTCTGCCCCAGCTGGGACTATGGGCATGTACAACCACCTGGCTAATTTTTGTATTTTTAGTATTGATGGGGTTTTGCCATGTTGGTCAGGCTTGTCTCAGATTCCTGGCCTCAGGTGATCTACCTTTGTTGGCCCCGCAAAGTGCTAGGATTACAGGTTTGAGCCACCGCACCCAGCCAGTGAAAGTAGAAATTATTTATTTCTTTAATTATTCCTTGAAAAGTAGAAACAAAAATGTCCCCTCTTAGCCTGAATGATTAACTTTACTCATAAGAGGTTCACAGTAAGGCATCTGACGTTGTTATTTATTTTATTTTTTTACTCCTCTGCCTTTGTATGTGACATATACTCATTTGTTTGTTGATTAGTTTAATGCCTTGTATGCAGCTAGCATTGATATCTAGTTATAGCCATTTTTAAATCAAAAGACCATTAGCAGGTGCTGAAAAGTCCTGTAGCATTATTTCCTCATGTGTAAACTTTTTTTTTTTTTTTTTAATTAGAGCCACACCCTGTCGCCCAGGCTGGAGTGCAGTGGTGCAATCTTGGCTCACTGCAACCTCTACCTCCCAGGTTCAAGTGGTTCTCCTACCTCAGCCTGGGACTACAGGCATGTGCCACCATTCCCAGCTAATTTTTTTTTTTTTTTGAGACGGAGTTTCGCTCTTTGTTACCCAGGCTGGAGTGCAATGGCGCGATCTCGGCTCACCGCAACCTCTGCCTCCTGGGTTCAGGCAATTCTCCTGCCTCAGCCTCCTGAGTAGCTGGGATTACAGGCACGCACCACCATGCCCAGCTAATTTTTTGTAGTTTTAGTAGAGACGGGGTTTCACCGTGTTGACCAGGATGGTCTCGATCTCTTGACCTCGTGATCCACCCGCCTCGGCCTCCCAAAGTGCTGGGATTACAGGCGTGAGCCACCGCGCCCGGCCAGCTAATTTTTTCATATTTAGTAGAGGTGGAGTTTCACCATGTTGGCCAGGCTGGTCTCGAATTCCTGATCGTGTGAGCCTCCTTGCCTGGCTAGGATTATTTTGAGAATTTAAAATGTTAATTGTGATAGTTGACTAGACTTGGTAAACTATTCAGTGCTGTGCTGATGTAAATGTGATAACTGCTGCTCTCTTTCCCAAATTCACAGGCAGAATATGAGATTATGTAATCTTGAATCTTAATCTTCATCAAGGGCCGGGCACAATAGTTCACGCCTGTAGTCTCAGCACTTTGGGAGGCTGAGGTGGTTAGATTGCTTGAGCTCAGGAGTTCAAGAGTAGCCTGGGCAACATGGTGAGAGGCTCTACAAAAAAATACATATCTACAAAAAAAAAAAAAAAATTAGCCAGGTGTAATGGCACTCGCCTGTAATCCCAGCCACTCAGGTGGCTGAGGTGGGAGGATCGCCTGAGCCCAGGGAGGTCAAGGTTTCAGTGAGCCGTGATCGCTCCATTGCACTCCAGCCTAGGTGGCACAGTGAAACACTGTTTCAACAGTAACAACAACAACAAAACCCAGACAACAAGAAACAATCTTCATCAAGAACTCTTGCCATAATTGAATTTTGACTATTTTTTAAGTTACCAACTTAGAAGCAATAGGATTATTACCAATGTCCCTGATTCTACAGTTTTTCAAAGTGGTTATTATTGGTGTATAGCGGAACTATTGATTTTCGTATGTTGATATCCACCAGCATTGCTGACCTATCTTGTTAGTTTTAACAGTTTGAGAATTGTCTTAGATTTTCCACGTAGACAGTCATATCTTTTGCAAATAACAATAGTTTATACTCTTGTTGTCTGTGTACCTCATTTTTTTATTACTGCATTCACTAAGGCCACCAAAATAATGTTGAAATGAACTTCTTATGGTAGATTCCTTAGTTGTTCCTGACTTTAAGAATGAATCTAAAGTTTTACTATTTACCATCATGTTAGCTGTAGATTTTATTAAGGAAGTTTCCTTTTGATACTGATTTTCTATTTTATTAAGATTGTGAGTGAAGGTAAAAAAAATTTTCTGCATCTTCTGAGATGTTTAATAATTTTTTGTCCTTTTATAAAAATGAATATGGTATATTACTAAAATTTTTTTCTTACATATTTTTTCTTTTCTTTCTTTTCCTTTTTTTTTTTTTTTTTTGAGACGGAGTTTCGCTCTTGTTACCCAGGCTGGAGTGCAATGGCGCGATCTCGGCTCACCGCAACCTCCGCCTCCTGGGCTCAGGCAATTCTCCTGCCTCAGCCTCCTGAGTAGCTGGGATTACAGGCTTGAGCCACCGCGCCCGGCCCTCTTTTCTTTTTTTCTTTTTTTCTTTTTTTTTTCTTTTTTTTTTTTTTTTTTTTTGAGGCAGAGCTCACTCTGTCACCCAGGCTGGAATGCAGTGGCACAATCTTGGCTCACTGCAGGCTCCACCTCCCAGGTTCAAGTGGTTCTCCTGCCTTAGCTTCCTGAGTAGCTGGGATTACAGGCGAGTACCACCACATCCGGCTAATTTTTGTATTTTTAGTAGAGATGCGGTTTTGCCATGTTGGCCAGGCTGGTCTCAAACTCCTTACCCCAGGTGATCCACCCACCTCGGCCTCTCAAAGTGCTGGGATTACTGAGCCACCACACCTGGCCTTTTTTTTTCTTATATTGAACCATCCTTGTATATTTGAGATAATGTAATTCTCTTCTACCTGTCCCAGGGTAACTATTTAATACCATAGTTAAGAATTTGCATTCCTGAGAACTCATAGGATATCATCAGTGGCACTGAACTATTTTTCATGCTGTATAAACACCTCGAAACAATTATCAATATGAGGATTAAATGGGAAGGAACACGGAGATCTGTGGTCATAAGCATGACAGTTAAAATGCATGTCCCACAGTCATATATAGGAGGCAAATATATCAAAATTTGAGAAAGTTCTATTTCACAAAGGATTTTAACTGCCTTAAAGATTTGCCTGTAACAGATGGGTTATAGTTGAAAGAGGTTGGGTAATGCTATTAATTTAAAAAAACTTACAGGTTACAGTATATAAGTAAGGCCTTTAAGATGCCTTTTTTATGTCAGATGTTACAACAGCCAACATAGGTAAGATTCTGTTCCAAAGAGGGTATTTTCATTTCCTTGTTTGGGACTACAGACACAGTAATTTATCCCCCATATCCATGCAGAAATGTAGGAATGAGCTGATTTGTGATGCATCCTATATCCCTCCCTGTCAGCTTGAATCATTAAATCATCCCTGCTTTGCCTGTTGCTTGAAGAACACCCATGTGGTCCCTTCTGCTTCAGTTGTGGGCTTTCTGTCACCTTCTCATTTTGGGGACCATGAGAATATGCACAGCAGAGTAAATGAACACCTTAATGAAGTAAAGTTCTATTTACTCTTCTGGTTTGAAAGGTAACCATTTCACAAGACAAGGTGTTCTGTACTGAATCTTGTTCACAGCCTGCAACAATATTGACTTCACTCAACAGATATTTCTTGAGCTGCTGTTATTAAATCAGCAAGGAGCAGCCCCTGCTTATCTGCCCAGGTTTATTGAAGTCATAATGGCACATACCTTAAAAAACATAAGATAGCTATCCTACCTTCAGAGGAATGACAGTCAGTCATTTACAGTCCATCAATATCTAGGAAGTCAGAGGGTCACATACCTTCTGTGTGTTGGCCACCATCAGAGCCCTTGAGAAGCCTACAGAGAAAAATGCTTACCTCTGATATCACAGTCTAACATACAGCCTACCAGAGGAGACAATACAAAATGCATATAGACAGTTAAAACAGGCTAGGTGTGGTGGCTTACGCCCTTAATCCCAGCACTTTGGGAGGCCGAGGTGGACGGATCACAAGGTCTAGAGTTCGAGACCAGCCTCGTCGATATGGTGAAACCCCATCTCTACTAAAAATACAAAAATTAGCAGGGCATGGTGGTGGGCTCCTGTAGTCCCAACTACTCAGGAGGCTGAGGCAGGAGAATCACTTGAACCCAAGAGGTGGAGGTTGCCGTGAGCCGAGATTGTGCCACTGCACCCCAGCCTGGGTGACAAAGTGAGACTTTGTCTCAAAAAAAAAAAAAAAACAAAACAGAAAGTTGAAACAACATTACAAGAATAAAATCACTATTCAGGGACACAGCAGAAGATAAGTCATAAATAAGATGTTGGACTCATGACTGCATATCCAGTCAGACTGTCAGTGGGGTGGGGGAGAGGTGGGAAGAGGCTTCTGCAGAATGGATAGCAACTGCAAAGGGGGGCCTGGAAGACATTTCAATTTCAGATAAAAGAAATAGCGTATCGAAGGCACTGTGGAAAACAGGGAGCGGTACATTCAGGTGACAGTGGAACTACTGGTAGCTGGACAGGAGGGCATCGGGGAAGAGGACAGGGCAAGGAAGGCCTGGGAGTGAAGAGGCTGAAGTTGACATTCTGGGGCACCTCCAAAGCCTGCCAGGGTGAGGAGTTGGGTTTTGCTTTTTTTTTTTTTTTTTTTTAAAGACTTAAATAAATATTTAAAGATGATATATAGCCTTCTTTGAAAGTAATTGAGATCATTGATTGGGAGGGAAAAATACACTAATATTTAGGAACTGTAGTACGAGAGAAGCCGCTTACTATGCCCCTCCCACCACAAGCAGCACAGCCTATAGATGGCGTTTATTATATGTTCCCAGATACATGGCTTCAAACAGCAGAGAATTTTTTTTAAGTCTTAGTCATATGGATGAAAGGCCCTCTTGAAAATCAGGAATTAGAAATACAGCAGCTTGTCCTGTTGGCCTTTGCCTGGTAGTCAGATGAGGGCAAGGGCTTGTTTTCATGAGGGAGACTTGTAAATACTTGGAAGCGTATGATGTGATCATCACCAGTGTGAACCTTGAGGGTTGTCCCTGCGACCACCTGGTTCTTGAATACCATAGCCTTAAAAATAGGGAATTTCTTAATTTATTTCTCATAATGTGAGACTTCACCTGGTCAGCAATATCCGGGGTCTCTGCAATGGCTGGCATGGCAGGGGACACCCCACACATTATGCTGGTAGCAGTGGGAGGGGACAGGGCAGAAAGGACCAGAGAGTTTGTGTCTCTACCCAAAGGTACTGGGGATGCTGAGATGGCTCTGTGGCCATTAGCCCCTCACGCATCGGCTCCGTCACCTTTGTTCCTTTACCCATTTCTTACCCCAGCATAACCCATGTGCACTACCATCCTCTCCCCAGGAGACAGGAGGTGCCCAGAGACTTCTCTCTCACTCCTTTTCAGTTTGAAAGTGTGTATATGTGTTTTGGACAGAGGAGGACCTTCTTCTTGGATCAGAGGTGCCATTGTCTTTAGTGAGGACCCCTCTTGCTCTTGGCTGGAGGGTGGTGGGTTGTAGGCAGGCCTGAGAACTGGATGACCCATGCAGAAAGAGCCAGCACAGATGTGTTATAATACCCTTCCCACCTCAGCAGACATGACTAAACAAACTCTGTCTGCTTTGAACAATTAAAGCACTTATCAGAGCGGCTCCCAGAGAGAGCAAGGTCCTGCAAGCAATGGCATGCTCTGAGGAAAGCAGTGAGTGTGCGGTGTGCATGCAGTCCCTGTGCTGTTAGCAGTCTGCCCGGCCATACTCCGAGAAGCACTCTGTACATTGCCACCTTCTGCATTTAAACAGCCAGAATGACCTGAGCTGGGCACAGGAGTAGCTTCCAGACTGTCTTTCATCGGTTTCTGAGAAACTTAGATGCTGAATTGGGAAATAGTGATTTGCTTCAAAGAAATGCAAGAAACATGAAGATAAATGCAAGATAAACCCCAATTCTTTACAACCAGCACCCATTTCAGACTTCATGGTGAAATGTACCCCCTCCTCTGAGACCACTGTTGCCCTCCTGATCCCCCCTCCAGCGGTGACCCCCATTGAGCTAGCATCTTTCTCTCTTTCGTTCCACTTAATAACAAATAATAATTCTTAGGTTTTGCCTTTAAAATGAAGACTGCGCCTGTAATCCCAGCACTTGAGGTCAGGAGTTCGAGACCAGTCTGGTCAACATGGTGAAAGCTTGTCTCCACTAAAAATACAAAAATTAGCCAGGCATGATGGTGGGCACTTGTAATCGCGGCTACTTGGGAGGCTGAGGCAGGAGTGTCACTTGAACCCGGGAGGTAGGAGTTGCAGTGAGCCGAGGTTGTGCCTCTGCATTCCAGCCTGGGTGACAGAGTGATACTCTGTCTCAAAAAATAATAAAGTAAAAATAAAATGGCTGGGCACGGTGGCTCACACCTGTAATCCCAGCACTTTGGGAGGCTGAGGTGGACGGATCACGAGGTCAAGAGATAGAGACCATCCTGACCAACATGGTGAAACCCCGTCCCTACTGAAAATACAAAAATTAGCTGGTTGTGGTGGTGCGCACCAGTAGTCCCAGCTACTCGGAAGGCTGAGGCAGGAGAACTGCTTGAATCTGGGAGGTAGAGGTTGCAGTCAGCCGAGATTGCACCACTGCACTCCAGCCTGGCTCCTGGCGACGACGCGAGACTTTGTCTCAAAAAAATAAAAAAATAAATAAAATGAAGACTCTCTTCCTCGCCGTGGTCCTGGCTAAGTGTCTGCTTACCATAGGACTATGGAGTCAGCTGGGTGGACTTCTTGCCTCTCTGGCTGGTTGACAGGGAAGGACTGAGGCACAGAGAAGTTCTTCTGCCTGGTGTTGTAGCTAATAGGTACAGAGTCAAGACTAAAACCCCGTTGTCCTGCCCTAGGTCTGGCAGTGTGGAAGAAAGGAGCCATGTAGGGTACCCAGGCAAGCCAGAAGTCGAGAGGAAGTCAAGGAAGAGTGCGAGTGTGGGACAGGGACTACTCTCCATTAGCCTGAGAGGTGGGGGGCACTGAGGAGCAGGTCACTTCATGCTTGGCACTTGCATCTGAGCCTATTTATGAACACTGGGTGCAACCCACCTGGCAAGGCAAAGCACCTTCCTGAGGTCCCGCCACCCCCTGTGTGCCAGTCCATTACTGGCTGGCATTAGGGTGCTCACCTGTGTGTAGATTTCCTTAGGCCCAAGGGACAATCACATGGTCTACAAGTCTGCATATTGATTTGCACTAACCTCTACCCTAACAACATAGCATAAAAATGGTCTAGGCAGGTGCAGTGGCTCATGCCTATAGTCCTAGCACTTTGGGCGGCCGAGGGAAGTGGATTACCTGAGCCCAGGAGTTTGAAACCACCCTGGGCAACATGGCAAAACCTTGTCTTTACAAAAAAATTAGCCACATGTGATGTGCATGTCTGTAGTCTCAGCCACTCAGGAGGCTGAGGTGGGAGAACCGCCTGAGCCCAGGAGGTAGAGGCTACAGTGAGCCCAGATACCACTGCACTCCAGCCTGGTGATAGAGTGAGACCCTATCTCAAAAAAGAAAGTCTAATAACAAGCAGAGCAGCTAACATTTATTGAGTGCTTACTGTGTGCCAAGCACTGTGCTAAACACTTTGGCTTCATTTTATCAAATCTTCCCCAGAATTATCCCTTAGAAAACGATCACTTGTTTTGACTTAGAAACTGAAAGACTGCATTGTATACCAACAGACAAACCAATCTACTACTAAGCCCATCCTAGGGACTGTGAGGGACGATGGGGACTGCAGGGCTGGGGTTCTTGCCCCAAGGTTCCTGAGATTCAAAAGAAGAAGAAAATTGACAGAGCTCGATTCAGTGCTGATTGAGTAGGCTTGTTCTTTTATTTGCTCATTCAACAAGCATGAATTGAGTATGATTTCTGATTTGTTGAGCATTTATTGATGCCAAGCACCACATGAGATGCCGCAGACACAAAGCTAAAGCACAGTCGCTGATCTCAAGGAGCCAGCACACATCATCTGTCGGGGTAAACCGGAAGTGTTGTATGCTAGGGCCCAGAACAGAGGAGGAAGCAGAGGGGGATGGAGCTGAATCTGGAAGGAGGAGGTGCAGGCACAGAGAGGGAGATGGAGTTACTGGTGAGGAACACAGGCTTCTCAGGCTGGGTGCAGTGCCTCATGCCTGTAATCCTAGCACTTTGGGAGGCCAAGGCAGGAGGATTGCTTGAGGAGTTAGAGACCTGCCTTGGCAATGTGGCAAGGTCCCATCTCTGCAAAAATTAAAAATTAGCCAGGTGTGGTGGTGCGCACCTGTGGTTCCATTTACTCAAGAGGCTGAGGGCAGCAGGATTGCTTGAGTCCCCGAGGCCAAGGCTACAGTGAGCCATGATTGTGGCACTGCACTCCAGTCTGGGTGACAGAGTGAGACCCTGTCGTAAAAAACAAAAAAACAGCACAGGCTCCTCTCCCAAGAAATGAGGTTAATAATAACAACACTATCTCCCCTTGTGGCAAGGATGGGTCTGGATAATGCACAAGATGTGGTTAGCACAGTGCCTAAAATGCAGTCAGCAGTCGGTAAAAATGAGTTATTTTGTTGAGAGTTAAAAGTGCTTTGGAGGAGGACCTGAGTCTTGTCTTTGCACCACCCCAAACCCCCGGGGTCAGCACTGCCTCACATACACACTGCGTCCCAGAATGCTAACTAGTAAGATGTCACAGCAGGGTGGGGAGGAGAAGCAAGCCCCAGCCTGAGCAGGAATGACTGGAGGAAAGGCCACAGACAGAGCAGCCTGGAGGCTCGCTGTTACGCCGGAGAGTGGAGGGTTCAGTGGGCGGTGTTCTTCACTCCAGGTCTGAATGCTGCCTGGGGCTTGGGAGGCCCCTTTGGCTGGGCACTTTTTTCTTTTTTTCTTTTTCTTTTTTTTTTTTTTTTTTTTTTTTTTTTGAGATGAAATTTAGCTCTTGTTGCCCAAGCTGGAGTGCAATGGTACCATCTTAGCTCACTGTAGCCTCCGCCTCCCAGGTTCAAGTGATTCTCCTTTTTCAGCCTCCCAAGTACCTGGGATTACAGGCGTGTACCACCATAACCAGCTACTTTTTTGTGTTTTTAGTAGAGACAGAGTTTCACCATGTTGGCCAGGCTGGTCTTAAACTCCTGACCTCAGGTGATCCACCCCCCTCAGCCTCCCAAAGTGCTAAGATTACAGGTGTGAGCCACCGTGCTGGCCGAGCACTTTCTCAGGATGGCCATGCTGAGCTGCTGACCCCTCAGTCCTCCTCTCCAGCTCCCTTTCATCATCACCGATAGTGTTCATTTAAACTCAGCAAGACCCATGCCAATGAAAACAAAGAAAATGATCTCTTAGTGGTTATTTATATTGTAAACCTCCTCTTGTGTGATTTTTTTCCAGTCCAGCTTGCAATAATTTTTTAAGAAAGATAAAGTGATTTTTAAGTGTAGTTTTAAAGAGCAGGCCCATACATTAGCTTGCTTTCTGTTATTCTTCTCTTTGGGTTTGATGTTGTTCACAACATGAACTTTCATTTATCTTCTTCGAATAGTTTGGGACCACAGAGAAAAATCCCCATTCTGTAAAAAAAAAAAAAAAAAAAAAGCCATTATACAAATCCTTTAAAGCAGAAACTCTTCTCTGAAATGACTAAAAACTCATTAAAAACTGCTTCCTGAGAAGGTAGAACAGATGCGGGGGAACACATGGAACTGATTCTTTAAAGATGTCATTTTTTTGAAGCCACAGTTGTTATTTCTTTTCTGTTAGCCAAAATGTAGCCTTCTGAACTTAGCACCTCATATTTATCAGCAGAGAAAGAGAAGAGAGGAAAACAAAAGAAACTAGAAGCAGAAAACTCTGAATTGTTTATAAAATGGGCTTTTAAAAATATTTATTAGGAGAATGAACCATGCTTTCCTTTCTCTCAAAAATTTAAGCACTTTCAAGTGATGACCAATTAAAAAAACTTGGAGCTCACTTGAGGCCCAGTTTTCCCACCATCAGAAATGTGCAGCCACAAAGGAAAAGTCCAGAATTTCAGCACTTGTAAGCCCTGCCGCTGCTGGTGTTGGAAAAGTACTGACCAGCAGAAAGCCTCCTCCTCCTCCTCCCCCCCCAGGGGAAAGCTGCCAGCCTATCCAGTTGGCACAGCCATGCCCCTCTGCCCAGGACTTGTCACCTGCACATACAGATGAGGATGTTCAATATGAATGAGAAAGGAACTTGAGAGTCCAGCAGCACCCTAGGTCTAGGAGTGAAAAGCTCCTAGAGTCTTAGCACTGTGCCCTCCTGTGGTAAGCTGGACTGCGTCGATTCTGCAGCAGCAGGCAGATGCCCGTTCTGCAAAGGCATCTATATTTAGGTGGGGGCACCAGCTTGCCAAGGTAAAGAAGGGCATGATGGGCGTCGCCTCAGAATACTGTTGGTCTTGGAACAGAGGGCCTCAGCGTCTGTCCTCACATCTTCTGCTCACAGGCAGGTCCTGTGTTGCCCTGTGGGTTAGACACGCTCATGGAGGAGAGGACAGCTCCCCAGAGCCAAGGCGGTCTGGAAAGCATCAGGGCTCTTCCTGAATGCGCGTCCTTCATGCTGGGTGGCTACGTGCCGCCAGGCAGGGACTCCACACTGCAGCTTCATACTTGCTATGCTAAAGGGAGCTGCCACATGCCCTCTGTTAGCAGGATGTATAATTGGGCCCCGAATGCCCCAGTGGTGTCCACTGGCTCATCCCTTCTCAAAAGTGGCTGTCTTCAACCCACAGTGGGAAGCTGCTCCCTGCCAGTGTAGCCTGGTGGGCCTGTTGGCCTGGGGGGAGTCACTGTCTGCCTGGACACACCTGGCCACCTTGGGACTACATAGCATCCCTTCTACCCTGAAAAGGAGTAACTCAGCTCAGCTCCTGTTCCCCAGACTCAGCCCAATGCACTTCAGGCCCACGTGGGCCCAGACTTTCCTTTTGTGACTTCCTAGCAGGAGCCTCCACTTCAGCTGGCATTCAGTGCTCATCCTGCACATTCTCGCCCCGAGGTCTTTACTCCCTGTATGGCCCCAGCTGTGGTCCTTTCCATGCCCTTGTGGATCACCTCCTCAGGAAATCTTCTATGAAGGTCCAGTTGATTTCTT